TAGATGCTCTGGTGGTGTATAGATGAGGGAGGCAAGGAAGTGTGCCCTAGGTATATATATATATATATATATATATATATATATATATATATATATATATATATATATATATATATATATATATATATATGGAGAGAGAGAGAGAGAGAGGGAGAGAGAGAGAGACGGCAAATTAAAAGGAAAGATATCAGTGTGTGAGAAGTTATAGAAATTAAATAAACATTCAATTACTATAATACCCTTTTCACCATTTAAAGTTACACTTTAATACCAATAATTTTCAGAATTTACATAAATGGTCCGTCTAATAATAGGCTTAGATTTGAATATTTAGATGGTCCAGATCTGTTCTCGCGTTCTCAACCTTTTAGGTGTTCTCATTTTATCCTACTATATATATACCAACTTCTGCGAACTGTTAGAATGGTCCCCTACCTACTTATCTAGATTGAATGCATACCAATCCGAAGGCAACAACAAATACCGTCACCATTAATGTTTTTATTGTATTGTTCTTAAATAAAAAAATATGTTTGAATGTTTGGCATACCTTTATTATTATCATTCTACTATTAGATATTTTGATGAGCTGTCATATCTACCGTATCAAACGGTGCTTGAATTTGTGAAGCTGGTAATCTGGGTTGGTCAATTATGATAATTACTTTGTTTTACTTTTTAAGTGTTAATTACTTGAAAATTAAATATTTGTCAAAATATAGATGGATTAGTCATCAAGCAAGTTAAAATGATTAAAAAGTAAAACCATAATAGTATTAAAATGAGAAGTTACGTTTCATACATCAAATAATATAAATTTTAATTCTTTGTAAAATATACATAAATTTTGTAAAGTTGGATTTTTTAATATGTTATTGATATAAAAGTCTTTAAGGTCATCAAGTTTTGTCGGTTTTGTATTTATGAAAATTTTTTGTTCGTTTATATTATTAAGTATTTTTGTTTGTTATTTTTACCTATAATATTAGGTTTTCAGATTAGTATGAATTATTATTGGAATTTTTTTTTTGAAGTTTATACATCTTTTGAAAAAAAATATTAAGTTTATAAATATTTTATGTTTTTATTGTATGTATTTATTTTTCATATTATATGAATTAAAAAGGCTTTTTATCAACGGGTGAATACAATAGAAAAACATAATCTAACAAGAAGCTAGATCAAAAACGAATCAAATACATCAAGAAAAATGACATAATATTTGATGAAATACTATCTTTTAGAAAGGATAAAATATCTAATTACATAGATGTTTGGAATTTTAGAAATAGATGCGTATTTTAGTTGGATAATTCATAAGAAATATAAGTTTCAAGTTAAATGAAACGATTGACTCTAAAATCCTCTTTTAAACTTGATGTATTTGGTTTGTTTTTGGTCTAGCTCATTGTTAGAGTGCGTTTTTTTTAACACATTTAGTCGTTCAAGAAAATTTAATTCGTATAATATGAAAAAAAAACATACTTAAAGTAAAAAGTATAAAATATTTATAAACTTAAGGACTATTTTGCAAATAAAAAATTATTGTAGCTGGAGACCTATTATTACAAGTAAAAAGAATGGATAACTACAGTAAAATCCTTTTATTTTGATAAAAATATCAAAAAAGTTCTAAATTTTTATTTTTTGAAAAAAAAAGCCTAGAAAACCAATTTTTTTTTTTTTAAAAAGTTAAGTCCCTTTTTACTTATTGATATGTCAACTTAAGTTGACATGCCACGTCAACATATTTTATTATACGGTATAATAAAATGTGTTGATGTGGCATGCCAATTAATTGTCCAAGTTGGCATGCCAATAGGTAAAAGGAGATTAAAAATCTATCCTCATCCTCATCCCCAATGGGTATCGGGGTCGGGGATCTCCAATGGGTAATCTGAAATTTTTCCCCGTTACAAAATTTTAAACTTTTATGAAAAATAACTTATAATTATATATTAACAAACAACACAAAAACTAATATAAAACATTATAATCACTGAATGTTTTCAAACACGAACAATAACATTCAAGGTTATAAATAAATTTTTTTATTTTTATTTTTATTTTTGCAAAAAAAGACATAAAAAGTTTTCCAAAAATTATACGTTTGATTGTTGAAAAACTTTATTTTATCTACTGAAGATTTGCTTATGTATTATTAAAAATAAAAACATAATACCCGACAGATAGAACCATCTCCATCTCCATCCCCGGCTAACTCGAGTTAGCGTTTCGGGTACCCATCATGTATAAATTTTTTTTTGCTATCTCTAATTATACCTTTAAAAATTGTGTTTTGCGTTTTGTGGACTAAATGATGAGGCCAACATGTTTCGAACTCGGACACTTTTGTGCAAACATTGGTCTTAGCCGGCTACACTAGTTTTTACTCAATGCTATAAAGCCTTAATGGCCATATATAATGTCTATTAAATTTTACTTATAAAAATAAAGAAAAAATGAGGATCGAACCTTCGCTACTTCCCTATCAAAGCAACTTACCACTTGATCTAAATGACATTTGATTTCTTTTTCCTTCACACTTATATTTAATCTATTTAATGTTGTAGATTTAAATATAATTAGTATTATTATTATTATTTTTATTGATAAAATTATAGTTGTCAAAATCGCGATACTGATCGTAAGATTGTACGATCCTAGGTATGAAATACGATCCGAAGCGTAAAAAGATCGTATTTGGGGTAGGATCGCAGGTAGGATCGTAAGATCATAAGTAGGATCGTAGGATCGAGATCCGATCCGACCCTACCTTCCCTTGATTTTTTTTTAAAATGATTTTTTTTTACCACCGTATGTCTTTTATCATTTACCAATTATCATTTTGTATTGTAGCTTATTACTAATATTTTGAATTTTTTATAACTTTTGAACAAAAATTAAATGTTTGAAATATTTTTCATGATTAAAAACTATAATTTAAAATTATATTTTATTTTGTGGGATCTTAGAATCCCGATTCCGATCTTACGATCCCGGTTTTGCAAATCCAAAAACGATCTTAAGTAGGATCATGATCTTGACAACCTTGGATAATATTGTTACTATTAAAAACGAAATTAAATAAATAATTTTAAAATTCAATTTTAGTATTATTATAAAATGAACACATGTATAAATGATTTTAAAATACATATTTATAAAAATAAAAACATATTTATCTAAAAAATTACATATAAATTTTTTTTAATATTTTTATACCTAAAAAACAATTTTAAAATTTTCTTTTACTTTATGTCTTTTTTGGCTTTTTAAACGTATAAATACTTTTTTTTTTTAAATATAATAAGAAAATGAAAAAATACATATCAATTAAAAAAATTAAACGTTTTCAAGGTATAAAACATATAAACATGTTTTTTATATAATAATAATAATAATAATAATAATAATAATAATAATAATAATAATAATAATAATAATTATTATTATTATTATTATTATTATTATTATTATTATTATTATTATTGTTATTGCATTTAAATCTATAGAAATATATCGATTATGCAAGGGAACGATAATAGCATTATATATGACAATTTAGTAAGGGAACGATAATAGCATTATATGTGACAATTTAGGATAATAAACATAAACAGGTTTCAATGTAATTGGCAAATGCCCTGCTTAATAGATAAAAAGGGACTAAATTTAATAAATTTCCTGGTTTTCTAGGTTTTTTAAATCAATTTGTTTTTTCGGACTTTTTTGAAAATTTTACCAAAATATAAGGACTTTATTTTAGTTATTCCTAAAAAGAACAAACAAAAAATTAAAAAAACTTAAGAACATAAACGAACAAAAAATCTTTATAGTGACAAAGTCACAATACAATAAAATTAAGGCAAGGACTTTTATATATATATATATATATATATATATATATATATATATATATATATATATATATATATATATATATATATATATATATATATATATATATATGTTTTAATTGATAAAATAATATGGTCCACATTATAAAATACCACCATTATAAAATACAACTTGTACAAAGACTTAATTCTTATTATTCTCAAATTGAAATGCTACAATGTATTAGTAAGTCGGATTATTTATTAAGGTGCTGTTTTCTTTTATATATTTTAATATATTTAATTGAAACAACACTTAATAGTAAATGTATATATAATATATAAAGACGTTTCTGTTTTAATCAAAATATATATAGCATCTTATGGATAAAGTACGATACATATAGTAACTCATCTAATGAATGAGGCCTTTTAGATGTTGAGACAGTCAGTGATGATCAAATATCTCATATTCAAACAGTGACATTATTTTAAAGGGCAAACACAAATAAATTAGTTAACTACATAGTCAATAACCCATTAATGAAAATTTACATAAAAATACTGCTTTTTAGAGTGATTGTTTTAACAAGATTGATACCCACTACTCCCTTTTAATACCCCAATTTACAAAGTTTTTAGTGCTATGGTTTTAGAACATTTAATGACATTAAGCCACGTTTTATCTGTTTTATCAAAAAGTAATTCAACAAAAGCTATTATTAAAGTGTTTACATTATGAGTGTTATTAAATTCACACTAAACTATGACATGCAAATAAGGCAAAGAAGTGTCATGTTTTTTTTTTGCGGTAAAAGCATGTCACCATGGCACCATATAGATTTTTATAAATTTCAAATATCTTCCTACAAAGTGTTGTGTAGTTTTTTTTTTTTTTTTTTAATTTTATTGTCGAAAAATAATATATATATATATATATATATATATATATATATATATATATATATATATATATATATATATATATATATATATCATACTAAAATTTAAAATAACATAAACTTAAAAATTACATTTTAAAAATCCCAAAAATTAAAAAAAAACATGAAAATTAAAATTACATTGAAAACCTAAAAAATAAAAATAAAACATAACATTCAAATTTGAAAACCTAGAAAAAAAAAACAAAGCATCGAATTTTCAATTGCGTTTCGTTAGATTATATTTTCCCTGAATCGATGCTTTCATAATTCTTGCCGCTTCTTGATCTTCGGGGTCGAGGTGCCTCACGTCTTGCATTAACAGGGAGTACTCAGTGAGTCGAATGGTTTCAGTCATATGCCTCTCCAAAGTTGAATTCAATTGTGCAATTTGTGTCATCATTTCTTCTAATCTGGCTGACCTCTCGGTTCCGAATGAAGAATTTGAAGATGTCGCTTTCCTTTTTCCTTTTCCTTTTGCTAAAGCTTTTGTTTTGCCCCTTCTCACTGGAGGAGAAGGCGGGCGTATTTCTACAATGTCATCTTTATCATCATTAAGATTAACGCCTACATGACCATCCAATGAGACTTGTTGCGAATTCGAATATGAAGATGCCCGACTTCTTTTTGGCGGATTTGTAATTTCTTCATGTGTTGCAAGTTTCCTCCATCTAATGCTTCTTTTGACAACTTCCTACACATGAATAAACTTAAAAGACTTTTGCATATCATCTTGGAATGTAGCGTGTGTTTTTTTCAACAAACTCGCTTCACTTTCTTCGATAGCCCATTGCATTTCAAAGTTTGTGTAAATTCAGTTCCAATGTGTGATGAATTTGTTCATAAGATTCCATTTGAAGTTACATTGGTTGGAGGTCCGATAATCTGTATTTTGACCCATTCCCCTACAAAATCGCTCTGTGATACGTAACTAAAACCGATCACGATTTTGACCCTTTCCATGCCACCATCTTCAGATATGTCGACCCATGCCCTTGCTAACTTAACTTCTTCTTTTTGTATCCATCTTCTCAGATCAACCTTCTCTTTCTTTTGTTGTTGAGGTTGTTGTTGTTGTTCTTCTTGTGCTTCGTGTTTGGTTAAAGGTGTGAATGACAGTTGGGATAGAAATTGGGTTTGAGATGGTTGGGTTTGAGGTTGAGATTGGAAATGGAATTGTTGGCGGCATTTGGAATTGTGAATAATAACTAGGAACACCATCCATTTTGTAGTCGGTAGGGTGGTAGTGATGACGGATTATAGCCGAAAAGTGTGAAAGGGTTGTTAACATTTTAGTTTCGAGCATTTTGTTTTGAAGAGTTTGGATTGTTGGAAGAAGATATTTTCAAATAAATAATTGTTGTTGAGAGTGTATAGTGTGATGATTTTTTGGAAAATTGATATATATATATATATATATATATATATATATATATATATATATATATATATATAGTAGATTAGAAAAGAAAAAAAATGAAATGTGCCAAACTAGTCGTTGTCGACCGTTTGGCAACGTTTCAAACTTAAAATCCCCACAAAAATCAAACTTTCACTAACGGTAAAGGACCACCGGTGGTGAAATCCCGTTCACGGCATGGTGTTTACCGACGGTGAAAGGGGGCCACGTCGGATACCGCCGATGTCCTCTTTATGATAACGTTAGGCTAAGAATTACAACCGATCATAATTAGAAATCTATAAAGCTCCATTACATCTATCTTCTAAATACACTAGACACCATAAAGATAGTGGCACCAGATCTTGAGGGATAATACCACCGCCCCCAACTCCAAATCGTGGGTGGGATACCTCGTCTCATGAGGCTTCAACTGCCTCGATGCATATGCTATCACGTGCCCCCTCTGCATCAACACCACACCCATCCTTGATATAGATGCATCACAGTAAACTACGAAGTCCTCCATTCCCTCGGGGAGGGCTAACACTAGAGCTTCGCATAATCTCTGGCAAAGAGTCTCGAATGAGGCCTGTTGCCCGGACCCGCAGGATAAAGTAACATCCTTCCAGGTCAATCTGGTAAGAGGAACCACAATATTGGAGAAATTTATGATAAATCTCCGGTAGTAGCCTGCCTGGCCAAGAAAACTCCTAATCTCGGATGGGGACCTCGACACCTCCCATCGCATAAAGGCCTCAATCTTGGTCGAGACAACCAAAATCCCATTCCGATTTATGAGGTATCCTAGGAATTGGATCTCTCGTAACCAGAAATCACACTTGGAGAATTTGGCATAAAGCCTCTCCATCCTCAATACTCCAAGAGTCTCTCGAAGATGTTCCTCGTGTTGCTCTCCGGACCTCGAGTATACCAGAACACTACCAGTGCATTGGTGAGTCCGAAGGGCATCACCACAAACTCGTAGTGCCCATAACGAGTCCTAAAGGTCATCTTCTGGATGTCTTCCTCGCAAAATCTCATCTGATGATACCTAGATCTCAAATCAATCTTGGAAAACCAAAATTCCCCCTGAAACTGATTGAATAAGTTTTCGATCCTTGGTAGTGGATAACGGTTCTTGACTGTCAACTTGTTCAACTCCAAGTAATCGATACACATCTGGTGTGAACCATCCTTATTCTTGACAAAAATGATCGACGCTCCCCACGGTGAGCTACTTGGTCTAATAAAACCCTTCCCCAATAACTCTTGGAGCTGCAAGGATAGCTCATGCATCTCGGGCAGCACAAATGTAACACCCGGTTCTCGGCACGTATTTTAAATTTAAGTAATTGCATGTTTTAAACTGACACTTGACGAGTTGGAGGCCCAAATCGTTGAGTAGACTGGATTCTGGATGCATGTTTTAAGTAACCTACTCAACAAGTAGGAGTACCTGGATGAAACCCTAATATTTGGTGTTTACACCCAAATTAAACGCCCTAACTTGTCCCATTTCATCTTCCATCGTCTCTCACAATCCAGGAAAAGCCCTAACTCGAAACCCTAAAGGATTTGGAGTGTACGTGAGCTGTTTTTGTGTGTTTTTGGTTGTTTGAAGTTTGAAGAAAGAAATGGAAGCTTGAGGGTTCCAGAAGAAGCAAGTAGATCCACAGGTTTTGCTTCATTTCTAGCCCATTCAAGGTAAAAAGCTTCAACCTTGACTTACCAGTTGTTAGATCCTCTTTAGGGATTGAATCTTGTCATTTTGGGGCATTTCTTAGTCACCTTCGGTGAAACATCCCAAAAATACAACCCAAAAAATTTTGTTTTAACATTATTAAAAACCCATAACATCGAATGTTATATAACAAAAGCATGCATCTTATGTTTCAAAATGCCATAACAAATGTATCAAATCAAAACTCAAGTTAATATCATATCAAAACATCTAAAAAAAGCTCCTAGGATTAAACTATAACTGTGGTGTGGGCCATGCCATCAGCCTGAGCCCTTTCCCTTACTAGCGGAAGTACCTGAAACCAAAACAGAAAACTGTAAGAACGAAGCTTAGTGAGCTCCCCCAATCTATCACATACCATACAATAACATATAAAGCACATACTGGGCCTTGTCCAGTGCATCAGACCGAAATCCGGAAACTGCATCGGATCGAAGTCTGGAAACTGCATCGGACCGAAGTCCGGAAACTAACCAGGGCCTTGCCCTCTGCATCGGACCGAAGTTCGAAAACTGCATCAGACAAAAGTCTGGAAACAGCATCGGACCGAAGTCCGGAAACTACATCGGACCGAAGTTTGGAAACTAGTCAGGGCCTTGCCCTCTGCATCGGACCGAAGTCCGGGAACTGACTAAACATAATATAGCATAATCATAACTACTGGTATAAACACATATATTGCATACTGCATCGGACCGAAGTCCGGAACACATAACACAAAGACATGCTTGAATCATAAATACATCAAGCATAGTGAACTACTGCATCAGACAGAAGTCCAGAACTACTGCTGACTAAACGGGCCGACATTGAGGCCGTAGACCCGTTCCTACTAGAAGGAAAACTCACCTCGTCACGCTGGCTGCTGAGATGCTAAATCTGAAACTGTCTGACTGCTGCTCTGGAACTCCCCGACTACAAATTCCATAAACACTAAATCATATACTGATAACTAATCTCAGGGTAAAATGACTATTTTACCGCTGCTATGGTGTGGGTTGCAACATAGCCCCAAACCCTTAATTTCTTCTATGTCCATCAATGACCCAATTTCTATATTGGGCCTAAATCCCTTTATTGGCCCTTACCATAGGCTTAACACCTATACTTGGCCCATATTCATAGACCCTAATAGCCCTTAAGGCCTAGAGACTCTAAGTACAATGCACAGCCCACACCAAGGCCCAATTGCTCAAAGCCCAATCTGGCAGCGTACGCTGGGCGTACCTCTAGGGACGCTGAGCGTACCAGCTGCTGGCTTGTATGTCGTGCGTACCTCCTTGTATGCCAAGCATATAGTCTTGTTAAGCCAACTTCCTATTAAGTGCTTAATCCATCGATTTAGAAGCTACAATTCCATATCCACGTCTCATTCTATGTCCTAAGCCATAAAGTTGCTTACTTGATGGTTTGGATGGCTCAAAGAGGCTCAAACTTCAAGAAGAAATATCCTAACTTCATAAAAATGGCTAGATCGCATGCATGGCCTCATACAAACCTCAAAGATCAAAACTTTATTGCTAATAAGGTGTTTTGAGTCTAAATGATGGCAATCCCAAGCTCAAAAACGAATCTTCATGATCAAGGTCCAACCTTTGGACCTAAAGATGTCCAAAACTTCCATAACTCTAGATCTAGCATATAAGGAAGAAAGTTTCAGTGCTTTATACCTTCTTTTGGTGACAAAGAGTGAGTCTAGTCCAGATCTCTAAGCTCAAGCTTCTTCTCTAACCTTTGCTTTCCTTCTTTACAACTTCTTCCTCATTAAAAACTCTCAAAAAGAGAAAAATCACACAAAAGAGAGTGTAAGGATGTGCTAGGTTTTTCTTGGGGGTGAGGAGACTTGTAATAACCCAGAGGGAGGCTATAATGGGTTTATATGTGTCTCAAACCCTTAAATTAGGGTTTTCTTATCTACTCACTTACGTTGCGTGTAAGTGTGCGCATCCCCGATTCCAACCGTAGTCCGCTATGCCTCGCGTACTCTCAGGCTACGCCCCGCGTACGTCTTATGGGCGGCCCAAGACTTGGACCATGTACATAAATCCAAATCCAATACTCTTTTTCTTCCTACTAGGCCCAACTATAATTTAAGAAAAATTAAATAATTAATACCTCGAGAGACGGACATTACAATTCACCCCCACTTGAATCAAACTTTGTCCTCGAAGTTTGCTGCTACCTAATTTGAAAGCAACTATGGATAATGCTCCGTATCTCCTCCTCAGACTCCCACGTCCACTCTGAACCCTTCAGGTGCTGCCACTGCACCTTTACTAGCTGAACTACCTTGTTCCTCATGGCATTCGTCTTCCGATCCAAGATCGCAATGGGTCTCTCGATGTAATTCAGGCTACTATCAACCTGAATATCCTCCAATGGTACAACTACTGACTCGTCCACTGAACACTTTCGAAACTGAGATACATGAAAAGTGTTGTGGATCTAGATGAGCTCTGCTAGAAGATCCAAACGCTAAGCAATCTGGCCCACCCGGGCCAAAACTGTTGGATATAGTGTCTAAGTCCATAACTATATTTGGTACGTACTTGACCCGACCCGGCATGGTCCATTTGGGTTGCATGGCATTGCAATACTTGGATAGACTAAATGAGAGAATATGGCACTTATGATTATTAATATATTATAAGTTCTAATATATTAATAATAGTGTTATTTAATTAGTATTGATCAAGTATTAATCTAGTATTAATTTGGTGATCAAAGTGAGACTAATTAAATATATAGGGTTGATTATGACAATCATCAATTCTTTTATGGTGGATTAATGATCCATGGTTTATGGGTTATGAATGTAAC